GAATAGAATAGAATAGAATAGAATAGAATAGAATAGAATAGAATAGAATAGAATACTGTAGAATACTTTATTTTCGCTTGGAATTTATTTTCGCTATTTTCGCTGAAGGGATGATTCCGTGAAAATAAAATCCAGCGAATATACCTTTTTTCCTATATTTCACATTAATCTCATCAAAAATCAAAAATCAGTGAAAATAAATTCCAAGCAAAACGCCCCAAAAGCCTTTTCATCGAAAATTAATTCCAGCGAAAATAAAGTATTCCACAGTAGAATAGAATAGAATAGAATGGAATGGAATGGAATGGAATAGAATAGAATAGAATAGAATAGAATAGAATAGAATAGAATAGAATAGAATAGAATAGAATAGAATAGAATAGAATCAAAAAAAAAAAATTGTTGAATGTTGAATTTTTAATTTATTTGATAACAGTTACAAATAATGTTGAAGATTTCAACAAAAAATACAAAAAATAAAGTATTAGAAAGTGTGGCTCTACATAACAGACTCACATTTTAATTAATCCCACAGGAATTATAGATAAATTTATTTTCACTCACTGAAATTAACCTAATTTACATACAACGCAAACAATACTGTGCATCAAAGATGATTTGCATCAAATGTAGAACTTTTCCTCGCATTATATAAGTACTACTATAGACATTATACACACTCCCTAGGGAAGTTACACTGTTAATTTACGCTTCACTCACCTCTAGTACAAATCAACGTGACTGCCAGGGGGCTGTAAGAGGCAATTCCTACGGAGCTCCATAATGCACTCAAAGTATATTTTTCTCGTGTACACGAGTATAACATACCATAATATCAAATTATTACATGAATCGCCGACATAAAGCGATGAAACTCACAATGATGGTCACATGCACGCTCCTATTTGTTTGTGTCAACAACGTACTTAAGTTGTACATCACATGGGTCACCACAAATAATACACAACATTTAAAAAAATAAAATAAATATTTTCAGTAATCTCATTCAATTATATCTTGGTCCAACTAAAACTAAAACTGAATCTATAGCAGAGGAACAGGAAAGTATTTTTTATTTTAGAATTATTTTACACTGTGGATAATGTTGAAAAACAAAATTAAAGGAAACTGCAATCCAACAAAATTCCAATGTAACATAACCCAATCTCTTAAATGTTTGCCGTCAAAGTTTATTCAGAAATTATTTATACAAGCTATTCATTATACAAGAGTCATTCGCATTTGAATGAATCTCAGCATTACCCACACCCTGAATAGAATCGACCCAAAATCATGTAATTGAACTTTTCTGTGAAGGGTGTGAACTTAAGTAATTTTGTGACCTTCCATGAATTAATGGTTCAATAATCACTTGAAAATAGAGACATTTCTAAATATAATATGTAAATTAGCTAATTTTCATTTTCTCAGACCAGAGCAATGTCAGTAGCTAAGATGTGCACCACTCTAACATGGGCAATGTGTGAGCTGCTGTGGAACGCTGGTTGAAGTGTCAAGGAAACAACACAAACTCAACTTTGAAGTAATCCTGAGCAACCAAATTTATATATGTTGCACATTTAGAAGTAATCTTGTTACACTGTTCAGGGGATTCACACCAACTACCCCATAGTACAGTTTTCTGAGAGTTTTTGGCCATTGTTTTCACAGTGATGGATGCCAGGACAGTGAAAATGCCTGGATGTTCGCTGGAGGATATATAAATATATACGAGGAAAAACTATTCATTCATCTGTAAAAGACATACGCATGTGTTCGAGAGTGTCACAGTTGTGTTCAAATATCTTCCTTATTTGGAAAATTTACATCACGTTTCTAGGTTTACATCAGACCTAGAAACAATGTAGTGCATGACGGGGATAGAATCCTGTCACTGAACGTAAACAATGATGCAGACACAAATACTTTTCGCTGGCATTTCTGGGCGTTATGTCCTTATGATTACAAGCATGCAGGAAAAGATGTATAATAATAAGATTATTATGAGGATACCGCAAAGTATGCACTCAGGCAGTACAGGATAACATCACCCTCTATTATGCATTGGTCAATACGGGGG